ATTATGCACGCGACAGTGTGAGCAGTGTGTCAGATATATCCCAGTACCGTGTTGAAGTAAGATGCTTTGGTGTTTGATAATATTTAGATTGAACCTTGAGGGACATAAAATTGGAAGTAAAGTCAGAATTATGTTTTATTTTATTCCTATAATGTATTTTAAGTTGTGTTGACTTGTAAAAATTTTTATGAAACTGAAATATTACATATAAAAGTATCTTGTTAGTCTGTGGTCTATTTTTACAAAGAGTACATATTGATAAGAATCATAATTACTACTCATTTATTATTGCCAGCCTTATTTTGGTTAAAACAGGGCAAAGTCTTCTATTTTCTACTGTAGAATCTTCTTGAAACTAAGCCTTGACAGTTTCAGTGAGTGGTTTTATTATTATTTTTATCTAAAATCATTACTAGTTTCATTTAAACAATGGTTTCTTTTTTAGTTTTTGCCCTATTGTTATCTTTTAAGATAGTTGATCTTGGAATTTATCTAGGTGACCTTTGCTTATAATAGAAAATATTTCAGGGAGGTAATTTTAAATTGCTCTTATTTTCAGTTTTCTACCTATCTCAAATATGCTTAATTAAATTTAAACAGTTTTGTTTCATTAAGTGGTTTCAGTAGATCGAATAGTTTGACAGCTGTTACAGCCTGTAATTGAGCCATTGCTACTTTGCAGTATCAGTGTCCATAATTTCAAAGCTGCCATATAGATAGCCTGCTATTTTTCAGCATTTAGATAACCATAATAGAATAAAATGGGGGAAAAGTTTATTTTAAAGGAATATTATTTAAGCTGTTAAGAATTTGTCTTTATGCCATGTTTATGTAGTTCAACATGGCTCGGTATGAAACATATTTAGATAACTTATGAGTCAAGTCATCATTTCCTCCATTCAACAAAAACCTGCTTGACTTCATTCTCTCAATAAGATAATCATAAAGTTTTAGAGTACTTTGTGTTTGTCCCTCATTTCTCTGCTAGTGACCTCAATTAGATTAATTCTACTTTCTTTTGGAAAATGTGTACTAAGAGATTGTGTATGTGTTTATGCGTATTATAAATCTTTTTTTTTAAATTTTTTGCCAATCATAAGCACTTGACTACCTTTGTTCTGGATCGGAAAGATGCTATGATAACTGTCGATGATGGAATAAGGAAGCTGAAATTGCTTGATGCCAAGGGCAAAGTGTGGACTCAGGATATGATTCTTCAAGTGGATGACAGAGCTGTGAGCCTGATTGATTTGGAATCAAAGGCAAGTTTGTAAAATCTATATTTTTTTCCAAGAAGCTACAGAAATATTAATGTTTACAATTAGGTCAAATTGTTTGAAAATGAGTAAAAGCTTCACAAAATAAAATATTTACTGTATTTTTAGAATGAACTGGAGAATTTTCCTTTAAACACAATCCAGCACTGCCAAGCTGTGATGCATTCATGCAGCTATGATTCAATTCTTGCCCTAGTGTGCAAAGAGCCAACCCAGAACAAGCCAGATCTTCATCTGTTCCAGTGTGATGAGATTAAGGTAAAAGAATGGTGACCTTTTCTTCCCCTTTAAGCAGATGTTCTGGCAGCATTACCTATTTTGATCATTGTGGCTAGCTATTAGGTACTAGATGTTTAGTTTCTCTGAGAACTTTGTAGGGAAAATAAATACTTTAGTATCTTACTTAGGGTTTCCATGCCAAATAAATAAAGGGGAAATTGGAATGATATTAAAAAATCAGATGTTATTTTTTTAAAAAGGGTAGATAATATATTAAATTCTCATCAAATGCCTTGGACTTATAATTAAAAATTGATTCTTCTGAAATCATGCTTTGTGGACAGTAAATAATCATGCAATCTTAATTTATTCTGCACTGATCACATAGCATGGATTATTGCAATGACGTACTTAGACGTTTCCCACGATATTGATTTAAAGTTAACCATTTAATTATGTGACTTGAATAATTGCTCAAGCTTTGTGATGCCCAAGTAATATGAGAAAATAGTTGAGCCAGTAATAACAGGCTATATCCTGAAAGTTTCTATTTCCAAATACAGTATAATTTGAAATGATTATAATTTGTGATGCTTTATTGGACCTTAGAAGTTATCTCCAACCTTGAATGCCTTTATTTCCTGAGTTGATTTCTCTAAAAGAGAAATCATTCTGTGTTAATTGGTACTTTGCCAAAGCAGTAATTTATCATTTTGATTATAGATTATGAAATATCCATGTAACTTTTATCTTTATAAAGAAATT